TTGGGATGATGAAGAAAAGCTCTATAACAAAAGTTCTGTTGTGGTGGTTATACAGCATTGTGAATGTACTTAATGCCAATGAATTGTGTACTTTAAAATGGCAAATTTTTTGTTATATATGTTTTGCCACAATAAAAATAATTTTTTAAAAGGATCACGGTGGCTGCTATGTGCAGAATAGACTGCAGACGGGCAGAGGTAGAAGCAGGAAGACTAGAGAGACGGCTGTGGCAATAGTGTAGTCACCAGGCGATGCTGGCTTGGGCTAGGGTACTAGCAACGGAAGTGATTAGTTGTGGGCATGTTTTGGAAATAGTTCAGAGCTAAAGCTGACAGGGCCTACCAATGACACATGAAATGGGAGAGAGTTTGGCCCAAACCACTGGAGGAATGGAGTTGCCACAACTGAGATGAGGGAATGCATGTTTGGGAGGTAGAAATCAAGATTATTCTTCAGACATGTTAACTTTGAGATGTCTGATATCCAAGACAAGATGGTGAGTAAACAGGTGGATATGTGAGTCTGTTGTTGAGGAGCAAAGTCTGGGCTAAAGACATACATATGGCCGGGACTGGGATTGCTCATAAAAATTAGAGTGCAGGTAATGGGCTCAAAGTCTCAGATGCACGTTAAATCATGTCGAGGACTTAAAACCCCAACACCCAGACTTCCTCTTAATTGATTTAATTGGTCTGAAGCTGTGCTCAAACTCCAGCGCTGTTTAAGATTCCCCAGATGATTCAAATCCACTGCCAAGATTGCAACATTGCTTTCTCGGTCTCAGACCTAAGAATCACCCCAGGGTATTTATCAAAAATGCAGAATCCCTCAGATTGACCCCTCTAGAGACCAATTTGGTAAATCCAGCGCAGGATCCCTCAAATCAGCATTGCAACAGCCACACTCCACTCTGAAAGACACTGAACTGGGAAAAACTTCCTACATAGCAAAGTGCTCTTTCTTCTAAAGCATACCCCCAATTGTTTTTCCATGTAGGCTGCTGGTGTAGCGATTCTACCCAAATCTGCCATGGATCTTTTTGTAACTTTGTTTCCTATTCGAGGTCACAGTGAGTGAGTGGCTAGAATTTACTGCATCCACTTACAGATCAGTTTCCTGGCAGATGCCTGCTTGTCTGTCACCATCTTCTGTAATCTAGATCCCTCTTTTAACAGCAAGCTTGCATGGATATTGTATTCGAATTTCAGATTCCAAGAACTTGGGCCACCTGGTGCAAACTTCCAGGCGCTCCTCGGCCAGGAGAATGAAGAGATTCCTCCTGGTCCCCTTTACTATGTCCAACCCTTCTCTCCTCATCTCTATTTCAAAAAGCCCAGAGGCTTCGAAATTCTTGCCATCTGACTGTACTAGCCACCTCCTTCCCCAACCCCATCACTGTCATCCACAGCAGTGGCTGTGACCCTCAGCTGCATTAGAAGCACTGGGGAACCTTTTTTAAAATCCTGAGGCTTAGGCCTCCCTGCAGATCCCTTAAATCCTTTATAACGCTCCTCTGATGATTTTGAATTGCAGCCGGGCTTGGGAACTGCTGACCTAAAGCCCTCCTACTTCCTGCCCCTTATTCATCGGAGAGACTACAGCTTCTTGCTCACCCCAGCTTCCGATGTCATTTCCAGGACTTCAGGAGTCTTGTGTGTAACCTGTACGAAATCTTTTTTCTCTCATCCTGTTAACATTCTGACCTCCAGGCATTTTCACTCTGTTCTACCCAGTGATATCTGAGGAGAGATCTGAATGAAGTGGGGGATACAATGGATATCCAGGGAAAAGAGCATTCCAGCAAAGGGAGAGACACACGCAGAGACCCTGAAGGAGGAGCAGGATCACTTTGTCGGAGGGACAGCAAGGAAGCCAATGACCAGGTGAAATGCCATCCAATTTCCTGGCTGTACCAAAACCTGATCCATAGCAGTAAGTGCACCAGGTCCAGAATCCCACCTTCAGGCCCCCTACTCAGGAATTTTCCCAGTTCCCCTTTACTCCAGCCCCCACCCCTCTAACAATTCTCCCGTCATGCATATCAGTCTGTGGCCCTCACATGTCTTTACTCCCCTTTGGGGCATGTTTAAATTCCATGGGTCATTATAATCCCTCCCTTGCTGACATTCACAAGGGATGCCCTACCCTTGTCTTACTCAGCTGGTTCAACCCCAGGTCTGGTTGAACCTAAAACTGACTCTTCCCACAGCTGCACCAGAAGTGTGACATTACGAGAATGAAGATATTACTAGAATGCAAGTCACACAGGTAGTGTCACACAAACAATGACACTGGTAATGTTACATTTCTAGTAATATCTTCACTACTAGAAGTGTCTTCATTACTAGAAGTGTGACACTAGTATGCGACTGCAACCAGGAAAGTCTCAAATCTCAACACTATCGGACCATCTTGTAATACACTTATGCCTTCCTGATCATTTCAATTTCCTAATGCCTGAGAAAGTTATTTCTCATATTTTCCTCTCTCCTTAGCATCCTGTCTCAGCTGATGGCTTTGCTTCATAATTCATTGAGTAAACAAATGAGTCTCACCTTCCCCACCAAAAATATACTTATCTTTAGCCCTATATTCTAGGTGCTTCATCCTTTTATAACCAAAGGAATATAACTGCTCCCCTCAAGGGCCAATTGCTCCACTGGCGCTCTGGACCCCATCTCTGCTGCCTATTCAAGGGCTTTGCTCCTGCAGACATTCCCCTCTCTGCTCTGCCATCAGCTTCTCTAAATGATTCCCTTTAATATGCCAACATACTCAGTGCCTCCCCTATACCCAAATGCCATTCTAGCTATCACCAGTTTCTCTGCTTTCTTACAGCAAAACATCTAGGAAGTACTACTTCTCTTCACTATTTGGACTTTAACACTGCTTCCATCCACACCATTCCACGGAAACTTCTCTCTTCAACCTCACCCGTCACCTCCATACTGCCAAATCCAATGGACCTGTCATCACCTTTCTCGACCTCCCAGCAGGATTTGACTCAGTTGATTTTCCTTTCTTCTGGAAATACTGTTTCTTCTTCATTTTCATCCCCTCATCCTCTTCCTATCCCTCTTGACCTCACCTTTCATCTAACCTCTAAGTTCCTGCTACTCCAAGTATAGTCTGGGGAACCAGCAGCATTGATGGCATCTGGGAGCTTCCTAGATTTGCAGTCTCAGACCCCAGACCTACTGAATCAGAATCTTCATTTAACAAGCTCACCCTGTGACTCCTGGGATGTTAAGGTTTTAGAATCATTGCTCTAAGTGTTGCTATGCCCCCAGAGCCCTCTGTTGTACTCCCTTTTTTCCCGCTTCTGTGAAACTGTATTTTTAAATTTTTTTATTTCGAGAGGTTATTGGGGAACAGGTGGTGTTTGGTTGCATTGGTCAGTTAATTAGTGGTGATTTGTGAGATTTTGGTGCAGGTGATTCCATCCAGGCCCATGGTTTTAAAAACTATTTATCTCCAAATCTATCCCTAACTCTGACTTACCTCCTAAATTCCAGATACATATACCCAGTAGGCTATATGACATCTCCATTTGGATGTCTCCAGCACTTCAGACTTACGTTGAAAACAGAAACCCTTCCCCACATTACTAAATAGCTCCACTAAAATAAGAGGTAAATGTATTGAGCCCTCAAAGTGACAGGCACTAATTATTCTAAGTGATGAACATGCCTCAACTCCGTTAGTTCCTATCTCTCGGTGGTGTGAGGACTATCATCATCTCCATTTTACAGATAGGTAAACTGAGGGGTAGAGAGTGACTTGCCCAAAATTATCTCTTAAGTACGGCAGCCAGGATTTGCAGGTAGGTAACCTGACCCCAGAACATGCCTCCTACCTGGTATAGCTCTCAGTTCCATTCACCCTACAGCTCAAAGCACAATATTAAGAGTCATTGTTTATTTCCTCCATCTTCCACTGCCAGCCCTGCACATTTTCAAACATTACCTTAAACCCATGGATTTCTCTTCCTCTCCCTGGCCACCACCCTTGTCCAAGCCATCAGTTTGACCATGTGTTCATTAACCTCCCAACCGGTCTCCCTCTAAAGTGAGCTTTTTGAACTGAGAATGTGTCTGCACTGTTGAAAGCCCCTCATGGGCTGTCATTTGCTTAAACATGGCCTTGAGAACCCTTTGTGATCAGAGCCCTGTCTTCTGCAGCCTCATCCCCCACGTCAGCCCCAGGGGGATCCTATTCCTCAGCCCCTCAAGGCCTTTGCTCCTGCTGTTCCCTTAGATCAAAACCATCGTCTCCCAGCTCCCTTCATCCTGCAGGTCTCAATCTCATGTCACCTCTTCCCAGCCACCCTGTCTAAAAGATTACTCTCATAGCACCCTGTTTCCTTCATGGCATTTATCACATTCTGAACTTGAGAAGTATAAATGTAATTGTGAAAGCATGAAGCAAGTCCTACTTTACCTGGTTTAAATCCTGGACTCTGCTCTGGCCTCTGTGTGCCTCCATCTCCTCAACTATGAAAATGTATAATAGCTCCTACCTCATATGGCTGCTGTGGTGAGTTACAGCAATGCACGGCACATGCTAAAGGCTGCTTCAGCATTTGCTATAGTTGTGCATACTTGAAGGAAGGACCTTGCCCCTTCATCATCTCTATATATAGTGCTTAGAACCAGTGCTTAGAACATCCGACTTATTGGCCGGGCGCGGTGGCTCAAGCCTGTAATCCCAGCACTTTGGGAGGCCGAGACGGGCGGATCACGAGGTCAGGAGATCGAGACCATCCTGGCTAACACAGTGAAACCCCGTCTCTACTAAAAAATACAAAACACCAGCCGGGCGAGGTGGCGGCGCCTGTAGTCCCAGCTACTCGGGAGGCTGAGACAGGAGAATGGCGGGAACCCGGGAGGCGGAGCTTGCAGTGAGCTGAGATCCGGCCACTGCACTCCAGCCTGGGCGGCAGAGCAAGACTCCGTCTCAAAAAAAAAAAAAAAAAAAAAAAAAAAAAGAACATCCGACTTATACCAATTTGTCAAAAAAAATGGCTATTTTTCTTCATTAGTTCCCCTTCATATAAGTGACAGTATCTGCCATTTCCCAATGCCATATATTGATGTTTACACACTAGGATCACCAATTAATGTGGCTTCATGGTCTAGTGCACATGCATTCATTTTATTCTATTCACATTGTACAATTGTTACACAACCTACAAAAAGTACAAAAGCCTAGCCATTTTCCAATGCCAGGTCAGAGCCAAGTTGGAAAAAAGGAATACAGCACAGTCAGTTACAAGAAGAGCTCAGAAGTCCTGTACAAGTCACACTGTACAAGTTACATCACATGTTTAAAGCTGTAAATATTGCCACAGGAGAATCTCTTGTCTTTGCAGCGACCACACAGTTCTTGTCGATGAGGCCTCCTTAGATCAATGTGTCTTTTCTTTTGAGGACAGGAACAATGAGACTTTGAGCAGATCTTTAGGAAACAAGGAAGAGTTTGGACACTAAATGATCAGTTTAGTGTTTCAAATGTAATCCTCAAATCACAGTACTGCTCCCTATTACCTTGTCCCTGAAACCTTCATCCTCTGAGTCCTACACGAAGGCCAAGACCAAGTTGTACAAAATTACTTGTATCACATTAAATGTCAAATATTTTTTCAAGATGATCACAGAAGATATTCAAGAGAATACTGCGAAGCCAATCAAGACAACATAATATAAAAGAAGAATTTAAGAGTTTTGTAAAATTTCTTCACTCTGTAGATTTTTATATTTGTAGCTGAACCAGTCAAGGCAACATAGTGTAAGAGAAAAAAATTAATCAAGAGTTTTATAGAGTTTCTTCACTATGTAGATTTTTAGATTTGTAGGCAGGTCAGAGTGAGTGGCGGTGGGTAGGAATTAAGTGAACATTTAAAAAAGACTACAGGAGATGTTCTCAACCAGGGGTGATTTTACTCCATCTCCAACCCCAGTGGACATTTGGCAATGTCTGAATATATTTTGGGTGGTTAAAACTGGGGGAGAGGGGTATTCTGGAGGACGCCAATGTTTCTTTCCAGTCGTGCCCAGTCTTTACTAGGATCTAAAACAGTGCCTTTCGACCATTATCTCATTTCTGCCTTCCAATAATGAAAACTAATATCCTATGGAAACTGGTACATTACCCTGGTTCCATCCCCTCAACCCTGCCAATCTTTGACATTGATAATCACTGTTCTATTTTCTACATGTCCCATAGCCACACGGAATAAGTTAAGATTTACTTTTTTTTTTTTTTTTTTTTTTTTTGGAGGCGGAGTCTCCCTCTGTCTCCCAGTCTGGATGGAGTGCAGTGGTGAGATTTTGGCTCACTGCAACCTCCATCTCCTGGGTTCAAGCAATTGTCCCTGCCTCAGCTTCCTGAGTAGCTGGAATTACAGGCACTCGCCACTAGGCCCAGCTAATTTTTGTATTTTTTAGTAGAGAGGGGGTTCCACCATGTTGGCCACGCTGGTCTTGAATGCCTGACCTGAGGTGATCTGTCCGCCTTGGCCTCCCAAAGTACTGGGAATACAGGCGTGAGCCACCACGCCTGGCCAAGATGTACCTTTTTGTATTGTGAAAATAGACATTTTTATTATTCTAATTGCAGTCTTAAACATGATTTAATCAAACTGTTCTGTTGAAGAATATGCCTCCTTATAAGAAAATTCTAACAAGTAATACATGGTGTTTACTATGTGCCTAGCACTCTCTTAAGCACTTTATATATATGAATTCATTTAATTCTCACAACATCCTTACAAAGAAAGGCTCAATAAAATAAGGATTTACCCTAAAGGTAGATTTCTGCTTCCGGAAATGGTGGATTAGGTAATTCTAACCAAGTCTCCTGGATGACTACAAAAGCTGAGCTAAAAATAACTGAATCACTGAGAAATTATCAGAGCATTCGAGATGAAAACCCACAAATAGGTGAGCACTTGATGTCTGGGACTGTTTACTCTCACTATAGATTTTTCACATGTGATAGCTAGCACTCAATCAACAATAACCAGGTACTGTATATGAGGAGACAGAACAACATACTTGAAAGCCAAGAGGACAGCAATAGACTCACAGGGTATTGAGTTAATGGAGTTCTCTGACACAGATTTTAAAATCACTCAGTGCTAATATGTTCAAGGAAATAAAACTAATATTTCCAGCAGAAAAATTGAAGTTTTCTTCTAAAGAAATAAAAATTCTAGAACAGAAAAATACAACAAATAAAATCAATAGTTCAATGGATGTTTTAATCACAGATTAAAAAGAGCTGAGATGAGAAATACAAATGGAAGATGGTTTAGTAGACAATATTCAGCCTAAAGCAAGAATAGCTAAAAGCATGGAAAATATAGATAAGCGCATAAGAGACAGAAAGAAATATGGTGCAAAGGTCTAGTATGAGTAATCGGAAGAAAGAAGGAATAGGAGAAGTAACATTTGAAAAGATAACAGTTGATAATTTCCCAAAAGTACTGAAAATCTTTAAGCTGCAGTTTCAAGAAACACTATGAAACTCAAGCAGGACAATTACAAAGAAACTACAACTAGGCATATCATTGTAAAACTGCTGAAAAATCAAGGCAAAGAGAAGTAAGCAAATTTAAGAAGGGGAAAGAGAAGAGGAGATTACTTCAAAAGAGATGCAGTAAGACCTATATTGTTTCATAGAAACAATGAAATTCAGATCCTTAAAGGGCAGAAAGAACTATTTCCAACCTAGAAATTCTATGCCCAGTGAAAATATCTCTTAAAAAGGTATCCAGGCCAGGTGCGGTGGCCCAAGCCTGTAATCCCAGCACTTTGGGAGGCCGAGACAGGCGGATCACGAGGTCAGGAGATGGAGACCATCCTGACTAACACGGTGAAACCCCGTCTCTACTAAAAATACAAAAAATTAGCTGGGCGTGGTGGTGGGCGCCTGTAGTCCCAGCTACTCGGGAGGCTGAGGCAGGAGAATGGCGTGAACCCGGGAGGCGGAGCTTGCAGTGAGCTGAGATCCGGCCACTGCACTCCAGCCTGGGCCACAGAGCGAGACTCTGTCTCAAAAAAAAAAAAAAAGAAAAAAAAAAGGGTATCCAAGGCTGGGCATGATGGTTCACGCCTATAATCCTAGCACTTTGGGAGGCCGAGGCAGGTGGATCACCTGAGGTCAGGAGTTCGAGACAAGCCTGGCCAACATGGAGAAACCCTGTCTATACTAAAAATACAAAAATTAGCCAGGCGTGGTGGCATGCGCCTGTAGTCCCAGCTACTGGGAAGGCTGAGGCAGGAGAATCACTTGAACCCAGGAGGCAGAGGTTGCAGTGAGCTGAGATCATGCCACTGTGAGCCGAGATCATGCCACTCCAGAGGTTGCAGTGAGCCGAGATCATGCCACTCCAGCCTGGGCGATGGAGCAAGACTCTATCTCAAAAAAAAAAAAAAAAAAAAAAAAGATATCCGGACAAAATAGAATTTGTCACCTCCAGACCAATACTATGGAAAACATTAAAGTTCAAGTCAAAGGAAAGTGGCCCTAGAAACAAGAAGATACAAAGAATAACAGAAATAATGTGTAGCTAAAACTAAATGAATACTGAGTATACACCAACAATCTTACAAAATTTTAAATATAAGTAAAATAAATATACAATAATAGCATATAAGTTAGGATGTAGTTAGAGTGTTCTGGAGTCATTGCATTGTCTGTGAAAGGCAAGATTAGGCCGAGCACAGTGGCTCACACCTGTAATCCCAGCACTGTGGGAGGCCGAGGCACATGGATCATGAGGTCAGGAGTTTGAGACCAGCCTGGCCAACATAGTGAAACCCTGTCTCTACTAAAAATACAAAAATTAGCCAGGTGTGGTGGTGGCAGGCGCCTATAGTCCCAGCTACTTGAGAGGCTGAGGCAGGAGAATCACTTGAACCCGGGAGATGGAGCTTGTAGTGAACCAAGATTGCACCTGCACCACTGCGCTCAGCCTGGGCGACACAGCAAGACTGTCTCCAAAAAAAAAAAAAGGCAAGATTAACAATTTAGACTTTGACAAGTCAGACAGTCATGTTATTTCTATGGTAACCATCAAAAGAACATTAAAAAAATGATAGAAAGGAAAATGGAATATTAAAAAAAATTCAAGTGAACACAAGAGAAAAGAAAAAGAGGTGGAGAAAAAAGACAACACCATTAAACCCAGTTTAATAAGTAGTTATATTGAACATCAGACTAAGAATGTCAGACTAGAAAATCAGAGGAGGAATCACTTAGAAGCTAGTTTTCAAACTATCATATATTTTATTTATTTATTTATTTATTTATTTATTTATTTATTTATTTATTTTTGAGATGGAGTCTTGCTCTGTCACCTAGGCTGGAGTGCAGTGGCACCATCTCGGCTCACTGCAACCTCCACCTCCCATGTTCAAGCAATTTTTCTGCCTCAGCTTCCTGAGTAGCTGGGACTACAGGCACCCGCCACCACGCCCGGCTAATTTTTGTATTTTTAGTAGAGACGGGGTTTCACCATATTGGCCAGGCTGGTCTCAAACTCCTGACCTCATGATCCACCCACCTCGGCCTCCCAAAGTGCTGGGATTACAGGCGTGAGCCACCACGCCCGGCCCATTTATTTCTACTAATTATAGAAAAAGAAGAAATATTGTTAACTAAGGACTTAGATTAAAAAACATATTGATTACAAAAAGCAAGTTAAGGATCTCACCCAATTCTGTGAATTTCTAAACATTGGAGACACCATAGAATCCAGTCAGAGCTCTGATACTATCCATCTAAACTTGGGAAAGTTATTTTTGAACTTAGCTTTCAGATCTATAAAATGGAAATAACATCTCCCACAAAGATTAGATGACAGGAGGTAATGCATGTAAAGCACTATCTCAAAATGTGGCATGTAGTAAACAATTAATAGCAGTTACCTTTTACATTACTACATTCTAACTATGCCCAGGGTGTCAGAGGACAAACACACACCCCCAATAAGGCAACTTGAAATAGCGAATCTTCCCCTCTTTCCCTTCCAAAAAGATGCAAACTAGAATTTATGCTTCCATTTTTCTAAAATATAACATTTCAAACATACAGAACACTCCTATACCAATATCCAGCTATATCAAATCCTAACATGTTGTCACAGAGGCTTCATTTTAGGAATGAAACATTATAGACACAATGGAAGTGTTTCATATGCTCACCTGACATTGGATTGCTTCTACTCGATAAGGGTTAAAACTCTTTTGGCATTTACAACAGAGTTGTTTGAAATAAACCTAAAGAGAAATATGTTTTTTTCAAAATACAAGCTTTTATACATACCCACACCCTGCAGAGGCTCCCAGTTCTTAATTTCAGTAATCCATTCCCTTGCCTTGTATCTTGCTTTTACCAACCTCTACCCTTGTGGTTTCAAGGTATACTAGTTCTTACTAATCACTTTTTCTTTAAATCTAATTTTTCTTACCCGTAAAATTGGAATAATAACCTCCGCCTCCTGGGTTCAAGCGATTCTCCTGCCTCACCCTCCCGAGTAGCTGGGATTACAGGTGCCCGCCACCACACCTGGCTAATTTATTGTATTTTTAGTAGAGACTGGGTTTTGCCATATTGGCCAGGCTGATCTCGAACTCCTGGCCTTAAATGATCCACCCGCTTCGGCCTCCCAAAGTGCTGGGATTACAAGCCTGAGCCACTGCGCCCAGCTGGAATACTATTATTAATACTTACTTTTTCCATAGTTCTGAAAACTCCCTAATAATGTACACCAAGTACCACAGTAGATACTCAATGGGAAGGGGCCGTCATACTTTTTGTCCTTGTCTTTTAGCTCTTACATGTTTCATTTTCAGTATTTCCCGGCTTAAACTTTAAATTACTTGTGGTTACCTATCAATACCACCTGCTTTCAAGGTTTTGTGCAATTTCCTGTGCACATTTTCTCCCTGCCTTGTTTGGTGAACTCTTCCTCCTATTTATTCTTTAAAATTTTGCTTGGACATCAAGCTGTCTTCCCTCAGGCAGGGCTAATCCCCTCCTTCCTGTGCTATCTCTGTACTGCTTCCATATGAAGGATGCTACTGCACGTATTGCCAAATTACATTTTGTTTCCATCACTCCTGTCAAAATAAATTCCTTCAGAACGAGTTCTATGTTTTGTTCTTTGTATCCTAGTGCCTTGGAATGTTTGAATTAAACTCATTTTTCTTCTGGCAAGAGAAGGAAGTAAATTCAACTTTAAAAATCTATTCCCTCTCTAGGTCTCTAGTAAATAGCTCGTGTGAGAAGTCAGGTTTTCATCCGGAACTCAATGCCTCTTTGCCCTCTCTCTCCACAGTCCTTTGGCCAGTAAGGCAATTTCTAAACATGCGATAGCACAGGGCGTTCACACTCAAATGCAATAACATCGGGCCATGTTACAAAACGAGGTGCACAGGGCAAGGAAAAGAAGAGGAAGCCTCAGGGGCAGCCTGCTGTTCTCAGTCTCAAACAAGGGTCTCTAATGACCAGAGCCTACGGGATTCATGAAGATAAAGAAATGCAGAATTTAATGTGAAGTCTTTTCCAATCCTAATATGTTGGCAATTAAATTAAGAAGGGGGCAAAGGAAACCCTAGGCGTAGCCTAAGTCTCTTACAGGCAAATCTTTACAGTAAGTTTTTTCACTTATTGCTCCACCTTGTGGACAAACAGTGGAAATTTCCTAGCGCTAAGGCCCAGACCTATTCCAAACACATCAACTAAAAAACGGTTACAAAAACTTCCAGTGTACACAAGGACAAAAGCTCATCTAAGTAACCTGACATTTTGGCAACTATAACGCCAGAGTATGGTTCGGAAACTCAGGTCCGATTCAGTTCCATTCGTTCACTGAGCAATTCCGGTACACCTGGCACTGGGGATGCCACCAAGATCAAGACAAGACTGTGACAGTCATGCTCCCTCAGGAATCAGATTCTTCCTCGCTTAACGTCTGTGCCCACCCCATCCTCCTCTCACCTCCTACTCATTTTACTTACCTTGTTCGTTCCGGAAATGCACCACACGTAAGCACTCTCCCACCTGGTCTTACAATCTTTACAGTGAAAATAGCCATATTTTGGTTCCAAAAACTGAAAATAAACAAGAAAAGTACTTTACCATCATGCAAGGGGGAAAAAGCCAGATCCTTCTTTATGATTTTGTATAAGGAAAAAAAAAATGACTTCTTTCACCTCACTTATATCTATTCTCAACACTACTGCATTAATTCAGTTTCTCATCTCTCATAAAGATTACTCTGGAATTCTTTTTGCTGCTGTCTTTGGTACTTTTCCAATCCATTTTCCACAATGCTACCGGCACAATCTTCCCAAAACGAAAGTCTGATTTCATATATCACAGACTCGAAGCCCTTCTTCGTCTCCAAACCCCCCAGTAGCAGTAGTTGCCAGACTGTTGCTTTTCACAGGCTTAGTTGGGTTGGCACCTATTTTACCCAAAACTTACCAAACATACAGGCCACATGAAATGCATATTTTCAGAGCTCCCTCTCCTTCACCAAGTACATGGAAGAAGAGAGAGAAGATTTTGCTCTTATTGCCCCCATAGATGGAAAAGGAGGGAGAGGATGGGGCAGGTCGAGGACTAAGAAGAGGGAAGAGAGGATCCACCTGGAAGTTGGGCCTCCGGAGAGGCTCGGTGGCGGCGTCTCCCGGCACCTGCTTGCTCTTCGTTTCCTGAGGGCACAGGGCGTCTTTCTCCCCCAATTCCTCCGGCTGCCCAGGTTTCTCCTGCCTGTCAGCTTCTGACCTCGGTGGTGATGGCTGCGGCTGGCTGGCCTCCTCAGGGCCCGGGAGCGCCTTGCTCTCCGCGTGGTCCCCATCTCTCCGCAGGCGGATCAAGCTCCTGCGGCCGGTGCCGGGCGAAGTGACCCCGCAAGCTGGCAGGGCCTCCCGGAGGTCTCTGCCGTCCCAGGGGAAGCAGCTGCTGAGGGTGCGAGGCCCCAGCGAGCACTGCACAGCCTTGTCCACCCGCGGGCTCACCTGCACGCCCACCTCCTTGGTGTTGGGCTTGCACAGCCGCGGGCTCAGGCTGGGGTTCATCTGGGAGAGGATGGCCTTAAGCTGCGCCCTCTTGTAAGGGTCCATGCAGTAGTCAGGGGCGTTCGCGGGCACCAGCAGCCCAGGCCTGGCCAGAAAAGTGGGGGGACCCATATTTTGCCTCCAGTCGGGCTGTTTGTGCCCTGAGAGTCCAGGCTGGCCCAAAGGCACTGTGTTTCCATAACCCTGGTACAAGCCATAGGGAACACGGACAAAGCGCTCCATCCGCTCAGCAGGTGCTAAGGCGCAGCCTAATACCCTAACCAGTTTGTTTGTGTCCTTATTTTGCCTTCCTCCTTCATCCGCCCCTTCTTTCTCCTGATCAGGTTGGTTCAGATTCATTCCTGGCTTTTCCATTTATTTCAGATTCTAATGGGAGCTGCCGCCTATTACCCTGATTGAGGGAGAGAAGCTCTATCTACAGATGTCTAATTGCCACCTGATTCCTACCTAATTGCTTTTCCCTACCTCTTCAATTCACTGCTCAGGGAATCTTTTTTTCAAAGCTGTTTTTCATTTCCAGCTTATTCACACCTTTGCTTTAATTAATGATTAATTCATATATTCCTGTAGTGACCATTCTAAAGATCCTTTGTAAGGTAATGTGGTAATGTTAGGTAATATTTTAAGGTACAGCCATTATGGACAATAGTATGAAGTTCCTTAAAAAAAGTAAATAGAAGTACCAGATAATCCAGCAATCCCACCACTGGGTATTTACCCAAAGGAAATGAAATCAACACCCTGAAGATATATCTTCACTTCCTTGCTCGTTGTAGCATTACGCACATTAGCCACGTTATGGAAACAACCTAAGTGTCTGTTAACAGATGAATGGATGGAGAAATTGTGGCACGTATTTATACAATGGAATATTATTCAGCCTTAAAACAGGAGATCCTGGCTGGGCGCAGTGGCTCTCACCTGTAATCCCAGCAGCTCAGGAGGCCAAGGCAGGTGGATTCACCCGAGGTCAGGAGTTCGAGACTAACCTGGCCAACATGGTGAAACCCTGCCTCTAATAAAAATACGAAAATCAGCCGGGTGTGGTGGCACGCTCCTGTAAGCCCAGCTACTCGGGAGGTTGAGGCTGGAGAATTGCCTGAACCCGGGAGGCGAAGGTTGCAGTGAGCTGAGATCACGCCACTGCACTCCAGTCTGGGCAAGAGAGAGAGCAAGACTCCATCCCAAAACACAAACAAACAAAAACAGGAGATCCTGCCATTTGCAATAACATGGGTGAAACTGGGGGACATTATGCTGAGTGAAATAAGCCAGATAGAAAACTACTGCATAAACTCACTGACATGTGGAATCTGAAAAAGTCAAATACATAGAAGCAGAAAGTAGAAGGGTGGTTACCAGGGACAGGAAGTTGGGAGGGATGGAGAGAGACTGATCAGAGCCTAAAATGTTACAGTTAGGTAGAATGAATGAGTCTAGAGATCTAATTTACAGCGTAATGACTATGGTACTGTATTTTATACTGGAAATTTTCAAAGAGAGATTTCAGGTCCTCTCACCGCACACAAAAGAAAGGTAATTATGTGAAGAGATGGATATGTTAATTGCTTGACTGTAGTAATCATCTCACTATGAACATATATCAAAATATCATGTCGTGCACATTAAATATATACAACTTTTAGGAAATAATGGTTTTTGGGGTTTTTGTTTGTTTGCTTGTTTGAAATGGAGTCTCCTCGCTCTGTCTCCCAGGCGGGAGTGCAGTGACATGATCTCGGCTCACTGCAATCTCCACCTCCTGGGTTCAAGCGATTCTCCCATCTCAGCCTCCCGAGCAGCTGGGATTACAGGCACATGCCATCACACCCAGTGAATTTTTTGTATTTTTAGTAGAGATGGGGTGTCATCATGTTGGCCAGGTTGGTCTTGAACTCCTGACCTCAGGTGATCTGTCCACCTCAGCCTCCCAAAGTGCTGTAATTACAGGCGCAAGCCACCATGCCCAGCCGGAAATAATGTTTTTAATACAAATTAAAGCATATTGCAAATTGAATACAAATAGTACATTGAGCAGCTGCACTAGAAGATAATAAGAAAGTCTATTATGGTAGAGCTAATGAGTGGCAAGTCCCCAGTACAAAGAGAACAAGAAACATAAAGGTATAGGGGGGTGTATATAATGAGAGAAAATGTATTTCTGAGACTTGTGTGAAACGCCACGGGTTCTCACTAGCCCACTCCTAGTGAGACACCCTTCCCCCCAAAAAAGGGGACAAAGCAAATTGTTCTGATTTATAGGGTGAATAAATCACAGGTTAGTTAAGTGTGTGAAGTCAAACAGACTAGAATTCAAACCTGGGCCTTACTACCAGGCACATTACTTAATTACTTGATTCAGCATCCTCATCTGACAATACTGACCGATTTATAGGATTATTGTAAGATTAAACACGGTATTGCTTGAAAACCCAAAGCAGAATGCCTAACTCATAAAATGTTCGGTAAGTGGTAGCTGTTATTAGTAAGGATCACAGACGTATTTCTTTGCGAATTAGACTTAGAGCAAAAGCTTTAGAATCTATCTGCATTAGTAAGGCCTCCTGCTACAGCTAAGGATTACTGATTATCAAACTAAAATGGTCTTAAGGAACCAAGTGGAGCCCATCCTTTTTCTAATCCAAGGTTGCTTCTGTTTACTTCTCAAGCACCTTCTGGAAGCAGCAAAGCCCCCATAGGAGCAACTCTCACTTACTGAATCCATTTGAAGGCTTTGTAGGTCTTACAACAAACCCTATTCAGCCTTGTATTAGGCATGTTACAGAACCAACGAATTCAGAAATCAAGTCAGGTCTTCCAGTTCAGCCTGCGAGGAAGACAGGTGATCCGAATCCTAAGAATCCAAAAGATGGGCCGGGCGCAGTAGCTCACGCCTGTAATCCCAGCGGTTTGGGAGGCCGAGGCAGGCGGATCACCTGAGGTCGGGAGTTCGAGACCAGCCTGACCAACATGGAGAAACCCTGTCTCTACTAAAAATACAAAATTAGCCGGGCGTGGTGGCGCATGCCTGTAGTCCCAGCTGCTCGGGAGGCTGAGACAGGAGAATCGCTTGATCCCGACAGGCGGAAGTTGCGGTGAGCCGAGATCGCGCCACTGCACTCCAGCCTGGGCAGCAAGAGCGAAACTCCGTCTCAAAAAAAAAAAAAAAAAAAAAAAAAAAATGCAAAAGATACTACCAAGGCCTGCGGAGCGAGGTACCTAACACTTCATGAGCGAGTTAAGATGGGTTTCACAATTTTTCAAGCTCGGAGGTCTTGAACACCTGCTACCCAATAGCAGCACAGCTACAGGAACTAAAATCTGATTTCAAATAACAGCCCCGCCCACTACCACGAAGTGAAGTCATCCGCAACCACACACCGACCACTGTAAGCTTTTGTAAGATTGGCTCGCTTTAGGGAACAGGTCTTGAGAGAACATCTCTTTTAAGGTCAGAACAAAGGTCTTTCAAAGGTACCAGGTCGTGTGCCGAAGGCGCCCACCCAAACATGACCTAGAGCAAAAAGAAAGTGATGGAGAACTTGGAGTAGGCATAGGGGCGGCCCCTCCAAGCAGGGTGGTCTGGGACTCTTAAGGGTCAGCGAGAAGAGTACACACACTCCAGCTCCCACTTTATTCGGTCCGATACTGACGGCTGTGACGCCTGACAAGGAATTAACTTTCGCCACACTGAGAAACACCCGCGCGGCCCAGCCAGGCCTGACTTCCGGGTGGTGCGTGTGCTGCGTGCCGCGTCACGGCGTCACGTGGCAGCGCGGGCTTGTGGCGCGAGCTTCTGAAATCAGGCGGCAGAGGTGGAACTGCTGTGGCTCTGCTGCGCCTCGGGTCTCTTTTGCGGCGGTGGGTCGCCGCCGGGAGAAGCCTGAGCGGACAGATTTGTGACCGGCGCGGTTTTTGTCAGTCTACTCCGGCCAAAAGAGAGCTGCACCTCTGGAGCGGGTTAGTGGTGGGGGAGGGGGGGGGGGGAGACGGGCGCGTTTTCCGCAGTCCCAGTCCAGCGTGGCGGGGGAGCGCCTCACGCCCCGGGTCGCAGCCCCGGCCTCTTGCCCTTTTGTCTCTGCCAACCCCCACTCATGCCTGAGGGAAAGGTCCTTGTCCCAAAGGCAAGTTTTCGCCAAATTCGAGCCCCGCCCCTTCCCTGGGTCTCCATTTCCCGCCTCCAGCCCGGCCTTTGGACTCCGCCTTGCACTCAAAGGCTTACCTCCCTCCCAGCTGTCCCAGATATCGCCATCTGAAATTTCTTTAATTGGAAACACCATCACTTTAACGGACTATTGCTGTTTGAGGGAAGTGTTTTACAGCGGCTGGGCACCCTGCATCCAACTCAAGCCCCCGGTAGTCGCTGTATTCCGGAGACATGCTGACGGGAATTATCAGGGGGCGTTGTTCTCTAACAGGAGCCCTCTGTCCCCGCTGGCTACGCGTCACTGCTTAGCGTGATTGAAACTAAATCGTATGAAAACCCTCTTCTCTAGTCGCACTAGCCACGTTTCGAGTGCTTCATGTGGCTAGTGGCACCTGTTTGGACAGCACAACTGTAAAATGTTCCCAACCTCACAGTAAGCTGTTATCGTTCCAGGAGCTGGGACTGAATTAGAATTCAGACAAATTTTCCAGCGCTTCTGATTTTTACCTCGGTCACATATTAAGGAATGCATCCCTGTGTAAGTGCATTTTGGTCTTCTGTTTTGCAGACTTAATTTACCAGGCGTTGGAGGAATATTGTAGGTAAAAATGTCTATTGGATCCAAAGAGAGGCCAACATTTTTTGAAATTTTTAAGACACGCTGCAACAAAGCAGGTATTGAAAATTTTTATATAACTTTATAAATTACGCCGAGAAATTGTTTTCTAAAAAATGCTTGCTAAAAACCCAACATGTCACAGTTTTGCTTAGAACCATAAACTGTTCCTTATGTATGCATAAATCCAGTTAACAACATAATCATCGTTTGCAGGTCAACCAGATGATAAATATAGAGCCTCTAGTGGATAAAGAGGAAACTGGCCCCTTGACTAGCAGTAGGGAGAATTACTAATAAATCAGAAGCATTAATGTTACTTTATGGCAGAAGTTGTCTAAGTTTTTGGTTTCAGTACTCCTTATACTCTTAAGAATGATCTAGGACCCCGGGAGTCCTTTTGTTTATGTAGCTTACCATATTAGAAATTTAAAACTAAGAATTTAGGGCCGGGCACGGTGGCTCACGCCTGTAATCCCAGCACTTCGGGAGGCCGAGGTGGGCGGATCACTTGAGGCCAGGAGTTCAAGACCAGCCTGGCCAACATGGTGAAATCCTGTCTCTACTAAAAATACAAAAAATTTGCTGGGCGTGGTGGCCCGTGCCTGTAATCCCAGCTACTCAGGAGGCAGAGGCAGAGGCAGAGGCAGGAGAATCGCTTGAACCCCTGAGGCGGAGTTTGCAGTGAGCCAAGATCTGGCCACTGCACTCCAGCCTGGCCA